AGCTGCGAGCCTCTCCGGGTCTCACCTCCACGCGGAGCGAAGGGGTAACAGCACTTAGTGCTGGCTAACGAGACAGCAGCCAGTAATAATGCCTCAGGGTGTAAATTACTGAACGTCTGCACTGGGCTGCCTCCCCAGGAAAGACATAAAACAACTTGGCACTAGGAAGAAAAACAGGCTGACGACAAAGACGAAACTGACGGGTACCAGAGTAGCGACTTGGAACTGCCGCTCCCTCCCAATGAACAAAAGTAGCAAACCGGCAACGATAATGGCTGAACTTGAAAGGAGAAAATGCGATATAGTGGTGCTGACAGAAACAAGGCAGTGGTCCTCAGTGCGAGCAACGCGATGGGATAACTGGACAATAATGGAATACCCGAGTTCCACCAAGCATGAAGGTGTGGCGATAGCTCTCAGGGATGGCTGGACTTTGAAGAAGCAGAGAGTGTTGAGCTCTAGGGTGATCATGGCTAACTGTACGAACAATAAATCGGCTCGGGGACTGAATATAATCGCGGTGTATGGATGCACTCAATCGGCAGATACTGACAAACAAATAGAGTTCTGGGGCGAACTGAGAAACGCGATAGAAACGGCACCTAAAAAGATACCTCTGGTTGTAGCGGGCGACCTCAACAACGAGCTGAAAAAAGGTACTGAATTAAGTCAGCTTCTGGAAGATTGCGTGCTGAATGCACACACCAGGCAGTTCGCTAACAAAAAGAAGCACACGTGGTGGCACCCGAGGACGAAAAAAGGAAGGACCATAGATCACATCCTATGGCGGAAATGGGAGAACAAACGAGTTAGGAATGCTCACACAGCGCCGCTTAGGAGGAACATATCAGATCATGCACTCGTGGTAGTTAACCTTGACATTAAGCAAAGAAGGGAGTTGAAAAAAGTGAGAACAACAGTGGGGCGACCGAAGTGGACGAGATATGGAGAGTATATGAGCACGACACCGGCGCTCAATTGGGACGACTATGTGGCAAGATGCAGAACTGCCATGGAGAAAGCTATGGAGGCGCAGATGAGAACCGAAGATCTGTCTCAGGTCACCTTCGATGGATGGCTGACGTCGATCAATGAGAAACTTGCTGAAGCCAACCGAGGTCACAAACTCACGTGTGAAAAATTTCAAACCCTGAACGACTTGGAGGCGCCCCCGCGCCGAAAGGAGCTTCTTGTCATATGTGACACCAGAGGAAACAGACTGATGGGCAAAAAAGCGAAAGAGCAGATCTCGTTCCATATCCAACGCCAGCTCAACACAATCAACTTCTGGGAATTTAATCCGAAGCTGTCCCCGTATCCGCCACCACCCGAACGCACGCAATCTGAGATAACGAGAGTAGAAGTGAGGCAGGCAATCATGAGGCTGAAGAATAACAAAGCGGTCGGCTCTGATGGAATCCCGGCAGAAGCCTTGAAGGCTGATCTTGATCAGGCCTCCAAACTGTTAGAGTATGAATATGAGAGACTGTGGAAGGGACATCCGATGCCCCATGATTGGTTGCACACTGAAATATTGCCGATCTATAAACGAAAAGGGTCAAAAGTGCGACCCGGTGAACTACAGACCAATATCGATCCTGAACACGGCAGTAAAAATACTCGGAAGCATTGTGGCGGATAGGGTGAATGTAGTCATGGCAGACAGAATCTCGGACAGGCCAAAGCGGCTTCCGAAGAGGGAGATCAACCATACACAATGTAATGTACGTACAAACCTATCTGAGAGAAAGTTAC